TACCACTTAAACATTTGCAGTGCGGCAGTGAAGTGCTACTGAAACTTTATTAAGTAGGGCAATAGACGTTTGATGTGTTCGGATGAATCGGGAAAGAGGGAGAGGGTGCTTAGAGTTAAGTCTTTCAGCTTTTATAAATAACAAAATGTTGCGATTTTGGTCAGCTTTTAGTGCTTATGTTGATCTTTAGGTAATTAAGTGCTCAAATGAGCTTAAAGTTTCATTTTCATTTGATATTCACGGATTTCTTCAAGCTGCTGCAAGGTTGGCTTATAGTGATGAATGCACGTAACATGCGCCTCAAATATACGAGGACACAGTGAAGTGAACCCCTCACGTTAATTGATCTGTCGGAGTTTTAGTGTTTACATCGACTTAAAACGGATGAGCAATGGGACTGTGGAACATTCCGGCTAGTCATCTTTTTTGCTACCTTTTGAAATCATTTAACTTTTTAGTTTTACCTAAATAATGGTCAAAAGCGATTTCTGTCTTTGAATTATCGCTTTCTAACCAATAAGGATGCTGTATTACTGGATCAATGCTTCCTTCGTTCTGATTGGCTATTGGTTTCGGTAGACACCACACGCAAACCCGAGGCAAATGAGCGCAACGGGGAGCACTACTACTTTGTGCAGGAGGAGGAAATGGCGGCAGACATTGTGAGCAGAGAGTTTCTTGAGTACGGCCAACGCAAAAACATCCTCTTTGGCATTCGTCTGGACAGTGTTCGGTCTGTCGTAGCCACTGGAAGAATGCCAGTGTTGGATGTGGAACCGCGAGCTTTGCGAATCCTTCGATCAGCAGAGTTTGCACCGTTGGTGGTGTTGTTGGTACCACCGCCATTAAGCCGACTGCTAAGCCAAGATGGACAGCATGACATGTTGGTGAGTGATGCGTGAACGTGCCCATTTTTGGCTCCTTCCGCTGCATTTTTTTGACCACTATTAACCGCTTTGGCTCTTCTCATTCATTCATTCTGATCAATATTACTCTCTGGAGGCCAAAAATATCAGTTGTTTTCTAGCTTCAATTACATTTTTACTAGTTGCATCCTCGTAATTAGGTTTTCGTTTTTCCTTTGCATATTTAACAATTGCACTTCGTAAGTCACCCCTGCCTATGATTATTTCCCTTCATCAAAGTCATATCGTGTATTTCCTCCTTTTGCCTTTGTGGTTTGATTCCTCTCCACTCAAAGTGCTCCCCGCTTTGACCTTGTATCGTTTAACGCGGACGTCGATCAGTCTTGATGGCTCCTTTGCTTTTTTATCCACCAGAGGTTGATCATCTGAATTTCCACAGAAACTCCTCCATCGAGGGCCGATTATGCAAGTGAAATAACTTTAAGATGGCTTTTTCACTCATCAGTCCTCCCTTTTCCTTACCGCCACTTATGATTTTATCCGACTCCCTCTATGTTTATCCTTCTCTTGCATTGTTCAAGGGACCCTCCTTTTTCTTCTTCGTAAACTTCCTCATTGGTGTTGGATTGTGGATGTATTCCAGATTTGCGGGGATTCGATGATAACTTGCGCATTAAAATGTCGCAGATTTTCTTAGAGAAATAAAAAATATAGTTTTCAAAGGCGGACAACGGAGGAGGCACGAAATCCACTGCTTGTCGTAACTTCCCCTTTCCATTTGGTAGTTTTTATGTCTTTCATTCATCTCTTATTGTAATTTTAGGATGGAAGTCTAACACGACTGGCGCAGGAGAGCGAGGTGTTAGAATACGTCTACCGACCCTATGTTGATCGAGTAGTGGTCCACCGAGGCGTAGAGGAAAGCGTAGAGGAGGTAGTTGAACTAGTGAACGATTCACGCCGCGAGCGGTGGGTGCCCATAGGATGGACATGCTGACTGACAAAGAGGAGGGGAAGGCGAGTCACTGACGCCTATTACGGCACCAGGTTCATGGCCTACCCTCTGTCACCTACGCTGTCCATGTAAAATTCGTGCCTTGACTTCTTCAACCCAATTTTACCCGATATCCTTCTATGCCACTCTGAATATTTGCTCCATTTACTGCCTGTTGGATATGAACAGGTGCGGATGAAAAAATGTAGATGTTTCAGCGATCAGCTCTTTCGTTCATCCATCTCAAGAATGCATCCGTGGGAAGAGGGAATGTGCGGCCAAATAGATGGATGGATTAAAAGATGAACACGGATCGGCTTTTGCCTCCCTTTTGCAAACAAAGAAACCTAATCAAAATGCAGATCCAGAAAATTAGTGCGAGGGGAAATACGAACTTCTGCCTCTCTGACATGGAAGGCAACAATCCAGTCAGTAGTTGCGGAAGTTGTCATCAACGGATGTGGGAGTAAAGTTAAGCTAAAATATTTGACCAAAAATATCTACCAACTGAGTACTACGTTGAGAGCATCAAAGCTGGGTAAATGTAGAGTAGCTTGAAATATATCGAAGCTGGACAAATGAAAAGCCAGTCACCAAATACCCCGGCATTTGAAACACTTTGTTCTGGGTAAACTTTCCACAATTACAAAGATCGATTCTCTTTCCTCATTGCTACCTGCCAGACTGCCATTCTTACACAATAAGATTTCCCTTTCAAAAAAATTACACAACGGAAGGTCGCTACAACATTAATTGACCGATTGGCATAAAAAGGTGCCCTGTCAATCGTCGGAGACCATTTCAACACAGAACGCCCCATCATCTGCTAAAAGGAGGTGACAATTTTCTTCAGAAATTGCAATATTTATTCAACAGTACTACTAAAATATTATTTGACTCGTGAATAAGGACTCTTAAGGCTCCTTTGTGCTAGTAATATTTTGATCCTCAGGAGGCGCATCTGGCAAGAAGTCAACGAAGAGCTCGCACAATTCTTCTAAAGTAGCAATCAGCAATGCATTTCGCGTGAGTAAAGATAAGACGAGATTTACCTTTAAGCGACTTTTGACGTTTAGATAGTTCAGCTAGATCGGCTTCTAAAACCTTCACTTCCATGAAAATATCAGTTCCTTTCACCGATTGCTCCATTGATAGAGAGCTGCAAAAAATTGAGGACTATAATATCCATTATACATTCAAAGCTCTCCGAAAATTCAGCAATTTAATCTATTTGGCTTCATAACTTTAAATGGCAACATATTCTAGAGTAATCCTTAAATAGTGGTTGCCCTAATTGCCGATTGTAGACGATGCAGTAGTTTTTGATACTCCCAAGGTTAGTTTCGAAAGTCTGCTGGCAAAACGATACCGTCAAATCCGCCTACACTAAGCTTACTTTTCCAAACTTATCCTAGCTATGGGTTTCCGCGCAGCAACCGGTAAAACAAAGAGGCTCAATTATCATAATTTATGCCACTGACATTTAAACCCGTAGTTAGGCAAGGAGGCGCAACCCCTCGCCATCACGACTTCCCTAAACTAATCTAACGCTTTGGAAATACACCCACGAAAACCACAAGTCAATAGCTGCAAGGTCGCCCCAGCAACCCGCACAACCGCCCCACCACAGACCCCCAAGGAAGCGAGAGTAAAGACTTACAGACGACATATTCATAGAAAAGACAAATTTGACTACAGATAGCCGGCAGCTTTGAGCGACATTACAGCCATTTGAAGAGCGCCGTCGAATGTCTTATGTATTCCGAGGAAGAGGGTGGCGTGTACGAAGACACATCCCGGCAATCCAACCAATTGAGACAACTCCTCGTCCCGTTTTCCGCCCCACGCAGAAACTAATGGCACTCTAAATTACCATTAAAGCCAGCTCGGATACAAAATGACCACAAGTAGTTTTCACAACAATATGAAAGGAAGATCGGGATGACATGCTGCATGATATTTAAGTAAGCGAACGGGGATTTGATGGCTGAATCCAAGTAGGAATATTTAACGAACAAGGGAGCCGTGCTGTAGGGATCATCCTACGGCAGAAAAATGCATCATCATTCCTAACTCACCGATTTGAGAATGGCAGATTTGGTTGCCAAGGTATGCAAATCAAAGAGAACTGTATTTCACCGGCCCCTTTCCGTTGCACGATGACAAATACCGGCCGGCCCTTGAAATCAGTGACCCTGTCAACATCACAATCAGCAACACCAAGCATCTCCTTCTCTAGCTCAAAGAAGTGCGATTTCCAAGGGCAGCCCTGCGATAGATAAAGAATGGCACCACTGGGGTGGACAGAATAGCGTGAGAGCATGGCGTCCTTAACAATAGTGCGTGCGGGATACCAGGTTTCTGCGAGGTCGCGAACAGTAGATACCAACTCGGACTCAACTAATTTGTAGGCCTGATCAAAGCATTTCTGGAAGTGAAAAAGATAGCCGGGCTAGCTGCAGCGAGAACTCGAGGCTAACGTGAAAAGAAGGGGAAAATAACACCAAACAATCATTAGCTATAAGCTCATACGGATGAATCGTTAATGATGGGTTAATAAGTGAATTATGAAATGTTGGAATACTAACCTAAGAAAGTTGAGAAAATATGAAGGATCATGACCGAGACTCGATAAGTAAATGTGCATAAAATGACATAGATAAATCGGAAAAAAGCGAAACTAATTCGACAAAACTTTTTATATCTTGAATACAGTGATACCAACACCAGCCCCTAAGTATGAAACCTTCCACATTAATACGCGAAAGATAGCAGCTCGTCACTGCCTATCAAGACAACACAATAGATGACACACCATCTCATCCTCATCAACTTTGTTCCAGGGGGGATTTAATCGATCAACACGCGAAGAGAGACCGGTGTTGATGGAGTACCTAAAATGGCCGACTGTATCCTAATTCAACCAGGAATAAGCAGAAAATACCACGAATATTGGAACATACGTAAGCGGGACAGGTGCCATAGAGACGCCATTATCAAGAGCATCAACCTCGCTGACAAAAGAACAATACAAAAATGGGTAGATTGCTTTGACAACTTCAGAATCAGTCGACTTTAATTCCAGAATAGAAGAGATAACACGGGTGCCGAAGTGGGCATATATCAAACCAGCACTACTTAGCTTTACAGCTGGTTTGAGATTTGGATAAAAGTCCTGAATCGTTTTATTGAAAGACCTGGACAATTAGAATGCTCAAACCCACGACTGGTGATGGTCGTAACGATGCCTATCCGGATCATACTCAGCTCCAACATCAAAAACGACGTCACAGTCACGAAGAACGTCCGGATCTCGCGATCTTATCAGCTGGGCATTATGATATTCCGGTAGTTGACGAAGCATAGCAAGAGCGAGTAACTCGTCGCAATGAAAAACGCCGTTGTGAGTTCCAAGCTTCATTTGCGGCGTCAAAACGTGAGACCAAAGAGAGTGTAACCAATAAGCCACAAAAAATTTTCCACAGGAAAACTCCTCGTTGAAGTAAACAGAATTAACTAACAACAAACAGCCAACACGCCACAAATAAGGCCAGCCAATTCAAGTGTGCAACGGAAGGCCTCAGCACAAAAATAGTCAACAGTTAAATCCTTAATAAAGCACACAATATCTACAACATTATAGGTATATAAGTCCTAAAAAGTTACGAGAGTGCATTTAATCTATGACAAATACAAGAGAGTGATGACTTAAGATTCGAAGCCTATTTAGTCACCAAACAAAACAGAGCACTTAACTCTTCGATAGTTAGATGGAATGATAATAAACATGTATTGCCAAACTAAAAAGTTGCGAAAGACACATCCAAAGCTGGTTTTTTATCCAAATAATTTGACGTACACCCATCCCAGCATATGTTAATACAAAAATAATTACTCTAAACTAGAACTGAATAATTTTTAGATGAATAATAGGAAGGTAACTATTATTTGTAGCAATTTATCACATTTATTGCTGCTTTACTAAGCATAGCACATAAAATCAAGTTCTGCTATGAATCATTTTATAACTTTACGAAATGCAACATTTACAATTTTGTTGCGTTTGTTAACAATCTTCGCGAACATGCTATCATCGAAGGTCGGCATCTGCAGTTGGTGTTAGCGGAAATATGTATGCGGCTTCAGTTTGTGAACGGGGTGCATTTTGTTGATTTTATTTATGGGTTGTCCACATTTTCTCAAATACTTTTGAGAAGTAATATTTATATTTTTTCGACTTATTAGGCTCTGTGTATTATAATTTGGTCACAGTGTTGTGACTAGACAATTGTGACTTTTCATTGCCGTGAGATCGTTCACCGTATTTAGATTTCCTGTAAACGATTTTACAATCTCTTACCCGAATTTAAGGTCATTTGTAGGAATTTTTACGTGTTGTTGTGTTTCTTCTCGGAAGTCTTATTACGTATTTTGACAGAAATTCTTTGATTACACATATTAATTGTTATTTTATGGGGGAGCAAATGAATCATACTGTTGATACCCAACTTTGGGTTCACACGGCTTTTAACCCTTGACTAGCTTAATTTTGTCTTGTTTTGTAACTGCGTAATCTTGATTTCCCTTCTATACCGTTGAACCGTACTAAGTTGTGGTGTCCGTTGCTTTTATTTACAACAGTGCTCGAGTACTTCCAAGATTGTCAAAATTTTGCTTCTAGAATTTTTTGTTGCCCTAAAATCGCACCCGTCACAAAACTGTAGTTGCTCTAACTCAAACAAATTGCTTTTTGGGGTATCACCTAGATTCGGAAAATGCTTACAGACAGCCTAAAACCTGAGTACTATCGCAACAAGGGTCGTCCACCCCTTACCGGCCTCAGCGACCACTATCAACATTGTCATTTTTTCGGCAGCACCACAAACGGCAATGCTGCCATCTCTACTACCACCGAAGATTTGTTATTAATGGACACCAACTCCTCAACCACCGGCTTTCTCCGCCAGGCCTCTCTGTCCTCCGCCAGCTTGTTGGGCGATCTGAACGGCAAACCGCTTTTCTATATGCCTGCGCTCTCTGCTGATGTGGATCCCCTCCTTCCTGTTTCGGAATCGTCCTCTAAGTCGTCACCGTCTTCCTGCAGTGACGCCTCGCTTATCGCGCCCACCAACTCGGTGCCTGATACCGCATCCACTAGTTTGTCGCCTCAGTTGAATCTTGTAAGTTAAGGTGGCGTGTGTATTGAGGTGGTCGCTTTGACGCGTTAGTATTTTTGATGATTATTGGCTGTTTCTTCGCAGTAACAGGACTTTTGAGCTTTGCCTTGACTGGTTCCAACATGGTTTATAATCTTTATTTTTTGCTGAGATTCGTCTGTTAGGTGTTGTTTATGCACCTTGTATACAGGATGTTGAATTCTTATTTCCCAAACGACTTATTCATCTAAATAGCGATGCTCAAGTGTATTCTGTTGAAATTTCAACACTTTTTTCAAGAATGTCACCAACTTCTTTGTTAATAATCTCGGTAAATGGTTTAAAGATGGTTTGTATAATGATGTGACTGCTAACAATTGTTGCCATATTGATGGCTATTTGTCCGTGTCATTTCACATTCTATGCTCTCATCTAATCATTTATCAAAATTATCCTTCACTCATGTTTTGATCAATGCCGTCACGTATCTCTTTCCTGAAAACGTAGTGAGCTCCAGTTTTGGAGACTGACTTGCTTACCGGTCCGTAGATAGAAGGAATGGTAAGTCACGACGGCATGAAAGAGGTTTGGTCGTTGGGTGCTCATAACTTACTTAACTGCTTAGCTTAGGGCCTCCCAACGATCATTTTGTCTCCAGCTTCGCCCATTTTTATTTCACCCTACAGTCTCACTCTGATCGTAACTCTTGCAACTTCATGCAGATAGCATGCAAGGGTGATGTCTCCCTTGGATCAGTACCATAAAATCAATTGCTACGAATGCTGGGGAGAAATGGCCGACACTTCCGTCACGTTCAATTTTAATGCACAAACACTAATTGATGTGTGCTTTTGCAGCATCATTTTAATGGGACCCCTTTTTCACTGCTCAGTTCCTCCTTGTTTTTCATTTCCTCCTTATTTCTCATTTTAACCGTTTTTAAAGGCATCGGATGTGTTAAGCCTCGGTCAACTACAAGCCATCACCAGCACAGATACAGAACCAAAACTCACTTCCTCTGGTGTTGCTGTCGCTTTGCCTTCATCGGATTAGTCAATTAAGGATGACTGAATATTGTTTTTGGCCTGTCCGCCTCTACTCCGTTTCGTATTTGTAGCTCGTCCCACAACCCTCTGATTCATGCAGGTGATTCACCATCAGAATTAAGTGCGTCCATCCATCCATCCATACATTTCGGGATTGTGTGTTGTTCACCGGATGTTTTAACGGTGTTGAGCTCGAACCAAATCCGTTGGTTTACTTACACCTTTATTTAATGAGCTGAAGGACTGAAAGCTGGGCAATGAAGGAACGATTTAAGTTATTAGGTATAATGATGCGGTTACGCTCTGTAAGTCATGGAAGCAAGGGAATTTTTAAGTTATGGAAAGCCTATGCTTTAGTGATGACCTCACAACCTCCATCTCTCACCTTATCAGAGAGTAGCGGTGGCACATTTTTATTTATTCTTGACTAAGAATCAAAAGTTGGTGGCCTTCACTAAGTCTATTTGAATAAGTTTGTTTTGCTAGGTCGTGAATATCTGGCTTAAAAGTTTGAATGAGTTTTCAACGTACACTTTTTGATGTCTGTTTACCGCGGCATTCGGCACACCTTTTCGTCGACTATGTTTTAAAGTCTGTTTTGCGCTCTTTGTGGGTTAAGGTATTTGGAGTTTATCTCCTCCACTTTTATTGGCTCAAAAATCGGTGACGAGATAAAATTATGACTGACCGTGGCGTGGACACCATTGATTTTCATGGCAATTTCATTTTATGTTGGGTGTCTTCCACATCCCTCTCTGTGTTGCGAACAAGTATCCGTGTGATGTATTAGAACTTACTAGGGTGGTCTTTCATCTACCTCTCTTACTGCCTTGTGGTGAACATGCCTTTTAATCGGTCTGTTCACCCTTTTTCACCGATTCGTTATGATGGGGTTGTGTCGTCTGTTCGCTCAGCTGTTCTCTCTCTCTCAGGGAACTTTCTCTGTTGACATTCCTAATTGTGCGCGTTATGGCCTCCTCATTGACGTTTTACTTTGACACAGCAAATCACATTATTCGTAGATTGTTCACTAGTAGGCTACATTTAAAGACGGACTGCTGAAAGCTATTCTTTCTGGTAATATTGGGGCCTTATTGCTTGTGGGGAGTCGTGGCTCATGAAGCCCGCTTTTATTTATCAACCTATCTACGTTTTCTGAGGTCGGGAGGCTTGTTATTGGTGAATTTTTTACTTGTATCACCTTTATTGATGACATCTTGGACTTTGAGGAGCGCTCCTCGAGACTGCGCCACCTACGTGAGGGGGGTATTTTCTAGTCAATTGAAAGCCTTTGACGATAAAATTCCCCTCCTCTGCACAGTTCAAAGCGATTGCCGCTCTCTACGGTCTTCCTCTCTCTTATTTATCATTACCGCCCAAATAATAGTGACGCGGTGCATCTTTAAGTCGCCATCTCCAACTTGATACATGCTAACTGCGAATCGCGTTATCGCAGTGTTTGGTTTTTGTCCGCTCCATCTCCATCATATGTAGCTTAATTTGCACGACTAACAAATCGACGTGGTAACCTCTCATAGCACAGGAGATTGCAAATTTAACGGAGGAATGGCAGTGAGAATGGACCATCAGTTTCCCCTTTCCTCTCCTATATCGCTAGCCATCCATTCGTTAGTTGTGGACCGGTGCGGATGTTTTGTCATCTTGGTAAGTGGGACTTCTTGTCCTTGATTAGTACCGTCTCTTTCTCACAAAGAGGTTTCCTCTCTGTGGTTTACTCTGGAGTATGTAAATCGCTTTCTCTCGGCACACACACACACATGCAGGAGGCACCCACCAGTGGTCGTTGTTTGGACTTTAAGTGTGGAACAATGAATAACACATTTGCTTATCCAACGGGTCTATATCATAACTGGAGAGGATGTAAGTTTGGCCTATAGACAAAAAAAGCCTTGAAACCGATGAGATTTTAAAATTGAGCTAAATTTGTGAACCGGTAATTCGCCTGTACATGCGGTATTGTGCGTTACGCGAGTTTGTAAAGGTTGTAACAACAGCATCACTGCCACAGTGTGAACGCAACATAGAGCGGAAACTGTGCCAACTTTTTGGTCATCTGTTAAACCGGAAGGCATATGGCGGTAGCTGTGGTTTGCACGGATAGTTGCTTCTTTCTTGGCTGTGTTCTTCATACCGCTTCCTAAGGTAGTTAGCGTTGATTCTCTTCTCTCTTCTCTCTTTTCTCCTCTTATCTGTTCTGGTCATCGTAGACATTAGATGGTGGATTTGGGTCTCTGACCTCAGTTTCACCTCTTTTTGTATCCTTTTTTTTTGGCGGTCAGTTCACGAACTCAGGCATCAAACTTTGTTTGTTGTTATGGCCAGGGCTCTGTCCTAAGATTGGAGAGCCGATTTATGCGTTGTTAATCTCCTGTAACCATCTTCTTTCTATAGATTTGTGCTCTTTTAATGTCTACATCGCCCGTTTTATGCGTCTGTAAAGGTGCACTTTATCTTATTGTCGGTTAGCCTCTGTTTGTTGTGGCTTTGGTTATGTTTTTGTCAAGCGATTGGGGAAATATTGTGCCTCTCTTTCCCTCATTGCTCCCTTTCCCCATCTACCGACCAATCAAAGACGCAAATATCTCTGCATACCTTCATCTTTTGGACCCAAAAGCGGTGATATTCCGCGTCACACTGCTAATAGCGTAAGTGCCCATTCTCTTCTCCCTCACTGCTATTGCGCTGCTATAGGTGGACTATTTTGTCTGAATTTTCCATTATGCTACTCGTCATTCTGCCTACGCTCATCAGTGAATCTTCTATTCCCCTCCCTCCTCCCCATTTTCTCACTCCGAGGGTCACAGACTCAGACGGCAACGCCTAGGTATCGTTAGGCTAACTACAAAAACTGCATGGCCTTTGTGTGTCTTGTTGTACTTGTGACTTGTTAAGACGTGCTGGACTCTCGGGTTGTGAAATATTGCTTAGACTGCACTGTGGGGTTGAGATTTGAGGCGGTCTGCTTTGTGCACTGCCTTTGCCTACTCCCTTCATTAAGGCACTTAAGGCCGGTGAGTGATGTAGCTGGCGCGCGGCACTACGAGGTGGCCAAATTTGTGTGGCTAAAAATGTGGTAATGAATCATTTCGAAACGCTTTTCCCGTCAAAGGACATTTTTTCGCTTCTCACACCACTCCGCCATCAAGGAGGGGAAAACTTGGCTGTCTAATTTTTTTGCTTCTTTTATGTACTTGAACGTAGCGACGTGTGACCTTCGAATTGCTTTCTGATTGGCTTGTGAAGCTTCATTTTGCCACTTCCCACCTCTAAGACACGCGACTGTGTCTGTGACTGCGATTTATCTCCTTCGGAAAGCTGTATTTTTCCTTACAAACTTTCTCCCCTAGAAAACAGCCGGTGCCGACTAATCAATCAGACAAGTGTGGTGTGTTTGAGCCACGACGCCAAGACCGTATACTGTACTTTATGTCGGTACTTGTGGAGGCTGCTGACTCATTTATTTTTGGCATTGCGTTCGCAACTACTGCGCCAAGTTTCAGGCCGCGTCTACTACTTGTCCGCGCCCATTTACATTCGGCAGGCATGTAATTAGGAAGCAGTGTGAAGAGAATAATCTTCCACACTCACCCCCATTTTCCTTTGTTGGTGTATCTCCGTCATCTGATCCATTTTCACCCCTCTTTGGAACTTGCGAAACGGAGTGGGCGGGCTGCAAAAGTGAGGTAGACAAGGCGGGCGGAATGGAATTCGCAAGTGAAGAGGGTTGACTGCTTTGAGGACTGACATTGGGTAGTAGTTATTGCAAGAATGCCAGACAATTCGCGTTAGGTAATTTTTGCGTGCGACCTCAACAAGAACGAACGTCTACACGTGTCTCAAGCTTTCCTAGCGATTCAACAATTCAATGAGTGGTTACCATGTGTTCACTTGTTGTTCAACGTTTTGGGCTTCAGGATCTCTCCAAAGTGACTGTCTCTTCACGTCGCTCAACCAAGTCCAAACATCGTCGCAATCAAACCAACAACAGTTCTCTCTCCAGTCCCCAGTCCCCTTCACCGCCAAAGCCTCCAAAATCGTCGACTCCTGAAAAGTTTCTTCCTAAGGTTTGTTCCACAACGTCCTCATCGAAGGTAGAAGAGGTGGAAGAGGAGAAGGCGACTGTGACAGTGACTGTAGATGCAATCCCAGTAATCAAAGTGAGCGACAGCAGTGACACTAACAATGCGGTTCTGGAAAATGGAAATGAGGAGGTTGATGACGACGAAGGTGGTTTTATCATGGTCACTACAAAGAAGAGGAATCGTCAAGCACGGTCTGCGGCGAAGGCCAACAACGCTTCTGGCCATCGATTTACCCGTCCACAGCACCCAGCACTTCTCTCTCCTCTTCCTCCCACTCCTCTTCCACCTCGAAAGTTGCTTAGCCCGCTGCAATCAAATAAGGTATCGTTGAAACCCTCAGTCCCCGAGAAATTGTCCAGGCAACATCCAAGGCTGGTCAACTTTATGCTCAACGCATGGACAAGTTTCACAAAAACTCTGGCCTAGATTTTAGTACCTACGCCTCCCTCGTCCTCCTCGTCGTTGTCGTCGGTGCTATCGCCTTGAGAACTAGTCATCTGACATTAACCACCCACCTTGTAGATACACAAGCTCTCCCTCTTTTCCCAGTTGCCAAAACATCAGAAGAGGTAGTAGTTAGAACAGCAGAGGTTGTAAGACCCTAGCTATCTCGATGGCTTAGTTTGTGTGCGTGCGTGAGTGCTCTTTTTTATGTCCTCGTAGTGTGAAAGTCCATCTGTTTTCTCCCTCCTCCTTCCTCACCCCCCCCCTCCGTCCCCCCTTCCTCACACCTCCTTCCTCTCCCTTCCGTCCATAGCCTCGTCTTTTGCCGATCCAGTTGGTCTTTCTTTTTACGAGTCTGGTCTGTCTTCTTCCCCCTCCTCGTACCTCTACCTCTCCAGCCTCTTCCTTATCGCAGTAGCAAGTATTTGGTAATGATGATGGTGATGCTGCTAAAAAATTAGTAGTATTGTTTGTTGTTGTCGT